CACTCTCGCGCTAAAGCGTAGAGTGTACAATGCAACGGTACGTTCGACCCTACGGTACGGTTGTAAAAACTAGCCCCTTAGATCAACGGACATAAAGAGGCTAGTTACGTTCGACCGCCGGTGCCTTTGCAATTTAGCACACATCTGGTGGGAACATCGAGTAAGCAACGAGCGTGTTCGACGTCTTGTTTGTGTTACAGAAAAAGGAAATGAACCACTCAGCACCGCCTTATCTTTGCACGATAACCAGCTGTTTGTGACGGTATGTTGTCTAAACAAGATGTAGGCGCCTTGACGCTGAATGTTTGCTTAGGGCATTAAGGTTTTCAGGTAAGTCCCCCTTCTCTCCCTCTTCTTATTCTTTATTTCATAGGTCCTCATGATTGTATGGCAGCGAAGCATCAGTTCAAGTGGCTGATGTTCTGCTGTTGATTATGATGATGACAGCACCGTTATTTCACGCATCGGAATCCGATGGCTCGGCCAAATGTTACGCCTGCCAGCGCACCGACTCCCGCGAGGTGCATTGTTTGCGCGCCGGGGGTGTGGATGGAAGAAGAGGTGGGCAAGTGATGACTTGATCGAGAGGAATAAAGGCCCTCACTTCGAAGCTGGTCTCGACTGGAGTGTCTCAGCTTCCTGGTTAAGGTCCGAAGGACGACGAACACGTTCGGCTGCATACACTTTCTGATATGGCTAGGAGTCTATCACAGTGGCATCCGTGCTGTGAGTTTCTTAACCTCCCCATCCAAACATGATCTCCCTATATAGTCCTATATAATTTTGCACAATAATTTTTTGCTACATGGTACCCGGCTAGTAGTTTACCGGAACAATGACCATCCATTACCGGTAGCTCAGCTGGCTTGCACCTGTTGCAATTTCCCCCTTTTTTTCTTTTAAGTATTGCGGCATAGTAGCTGAGGTCTTTCCTACCTCTAGCTAACGTGTATGATGATGATGATGCAAACAGGGATGGCACTGCCAGCTCATCAGGTAAGTGTTAGCGTATAAACTGAAGAGAGGGGGACCAAGGACTGAACCTTACGAGACCTCACTCAGAACGCATTGTCGAAAGACAGACCGGAACCCACACAAACACCCATCTCCCGATTAGTTAAGCTGAAATTCACCGTAAGACAAGTGGAGAAATACCGTAGGACTGCAGATTTTACAAAACAGGAGAATGTGGAACAGTGACGAAAGCTTTAGAAAAGTCAATGAACATCACGTCCACTGCCTTTACTCGCGCGATGGTTTCGGTCCAATGTTCTTGAGCCACCAACAAGTTAGTAAGACAGGAACAACCCTTACGAAAGCCGTGTTGAGAAAGTTTGGGCAACCCAAACGCAATTAAATGACCTTCGAGCGTCCCTCACAAGTTTTCTAACAGCCTCACTAGCACGTTCATCAAATTGACCGGGCTATAGTTTGCAGGGAGGTATTCGTCACCATTTTGGGGACATACAATATCATCCTTCCAGTCAGTGGTCAGCTGCGTAGAGTTCTCAAACAGATGTGTAATCAGAGGGCAAAGTTCGTCAGCCAACTCGCAAAACAGTTTGGGAAGCATAACAGAAGCCGGAGCACAAGAGCCTCTGACATGGGAATCTTCTGCGGGAGAGAGCCCACAGGAACTTTGTCTGCAGAATGATATGCGGCGGCTGACTACAACAGACGCGCCTAAAAAGTGTTCTCCGAGTAAACAAGCGGTATCGTGATCTGTGACAGCAGCAGTGTCAGGGCCAAACAACACTGGGATGATAAAGTTTATGTTGTTTCACCTTCTTACATAAGCGAAAAAGCGTTTTGGATTAGATGGGGCTGTGCGAGCAAGCTCAACTTCATATTGTAGTCGAGCACCACGCAGATGCTGCCTGCTAGCAATTCGAGCCTAACGGGAGCGCTTGTAGGTATATGATGAAGGATCAGGCAAATGAGTTCGCCAACATCTGGTGCGTCTGGTGCGCGTGCTTTATTCCTCCCGGAAAGTGCTATGTGAAGATAGCGCCCATATAAGTATGACTTAAATTCGTCCCAAGCTTCTTGAATAGGTAATTTCCGAAATGGCGCAAGGCGATCCTACGGCCACGGTATTCATTGTTTGAAAATTCGCACGCCATATATTTGGACTCCAAGGGGACCATTAGTCATACGACTAAGAGCACACTTGAACGACAGACAAGCGTGGAAGCGCGCACCGGGAGGTGAGTTGTATACAATGTCCGTGACAAAGTCAACGGATTTAACAAAGATCAGGTCCAAGAGCGACGGGTTTTGACCCATCATGAATCTGATGAACCGATCAACAAACTGGTGTGAGGGAGCATGCAAGGCTAGAGCAAGAAGCTCAACAGCAAAACACCTTGAAACAGCATCACAGGAAAAATTCTGACAGTCAATATCAGGAATTTTAAAGAGCACTGAATAAAATAAAAAACGAATCGTCAGCTGTATGCCCTAACGGCGCTTCGCTGCCACGCGACCACCACTAATCGCGAGTGGCCTGAGTAGACCGCAAAGACACCCACCTCTACGTGGATTAGAACCGGTGACCTAATGGTTGCAAACCAGGCGCGCAGACCACTCGGCCACCGGCCGACCCATCACTAAACATGTACTTGCCGAATGTGCACGGAGGAAATCAATGAGACCCCTAGCAACGATATCGGAGCTTCTATACGTTGCACGGATACAGTACACAAATAAACGAGTGCCTTAGCAGAACCATCTAGTGAGCGGTGTACGTCCTAAAGACAGTAAGGGGGTAGCTGACGCACAAAACAACGCTGCAGCCGCGACAATCTTAGGTGCGGTTACACCCCAGCAGTGCGTAGCCTGGTAGGCACACTCCACTGTCCGTGACGTCTGTGGATAACCAAACATCAGTGAACGAGAATACATCTTGACGGGAGTCGTCGACAAGAGCACCGACTTCGCAGGTTACATAAACTACTGAAGATCACATGAAGGGATTTGGCATCATCAGCCCGGGATCGAGCGCCATCAACCGGTCCTGGTAGGGCAGAAGTGGACCGCCGGATGACAATCCGGAAAATCACGAAACGGAGACCCTTTTCTAATGCTTCAAGACGGGCTTTAAGATCTCGCACAGCTTCCCGCAATTTTGACCTCTCCGTCAAAGAGAGATATGGGTGTACAATAACGCGTGTCCTATAGCTTAAAAGCGGAATCCAGACATGTCAACCGGCAAGTTACTAAGTCTGGTAAGTTTTCGCATAGTCACGCCGGGTAAGCTGGGTGGCAGGAGTTTGGTAACAGATATTCTAAACCAGTTGATGTCATCCAGCATACACTTTTCGAAGAAATGATGACCAAGTGGAATTCCTGAAAATGTACTCAGTATACGAGTCTCCGCGACGCGGAGTATTTACCGAACGCTCCGTGGACGCTGGCGGTTTCGGTTTAGCGTCCGACTTAATAGGCTGCAATAGCGTAGACGACTACTTGCAACGAGACAGCAGTAGTAGAAAGTGAGGGGATGGGGATAGGGCACACGACGTACCTCCTACGTCAGTCTTGAGTTTTGCCACCTTTTTAACCCTCTTCCGCTTTTATTTGACAAGGGTAGACACTCGCTTTTCGCTCTCGCAAACAACCGAATAAAACGCGATACCTGACAGTTCGTTACTAATTGGTTTACTGATAGTAGACGGTGAACAAACTGATGTCGAGTCTGACGGCTTGCCAGTATCTTCCACTGTCTCCTGACGGAGAAGTGCTGAGCGGTTCTGACATTATAATCTAATCAAGTTTCCTATCTAGCAAACACATCAGGTCTTCCGGAGAAACAGGACAGCTCTTTACTGGCGTGTAACGCTTAATACTACGCACACAGCAGCCAGGACAACTGTAGAATGTGTTCTTGCTACTAGCCAGAAGGTCATACTGCATGGGATCCAGGCCAGTGAAGGCCTCATGGAGCCAAGGGCCACATATATCGCATTGCATGCCTTCAGATGAGTCTGAAACTGCTGAGAGACATCGCTTTTCTGCATATAGCCACCAAAACGCCAGAGAAAGAAAACGGCGAGTCTGGACAACACTCGACAACCATTTCATAGTAAGGAGTCGGAAAGTGGTGGATGTAAGAGAGCTGTGGGCCGGTTGGCAGTGGTCCGCTATGCAATCGTCGAGAGCACCAGTTCGAAAGATCAAGTGTGGCATGTATGTATTGAAATGGACTCAACAAAGCGCAAGTGGCGTCACAAAGCCGAGGTGAACTCCAGGGATATGATAACAGATTCTTTGTGAAAGAGCAGACACCGAGACCAGAAGAACCAAAGATTCGCTGACAACCAACAGCAATGAGCAATTTGCAAGGAGCAGTCCAAGTAAATCGCTTTTGGCAAATGAATAACGGCACGCAACAGAGTGCGGCAAGTGGTTTGCACGGCTGTTAGCGTGTGTACTGATTTGCGGGCACTTCACAATCGGTATACCGCGATTTTTTGTGTCCGAGTTGCGTCAGGAAAATGTCTAGTAGTGTCTCAGACCAGACGCAAATCAAACGCTCGTGTGACATTCGTCGGACACTCGTGCAAGAGGGAATATATATGCAACTGGACTTTGAATTAGAGTTCACCAGTCAGAATACGTCAGCGTGAAGTGACAAATCCAAAATCAAACAAAGCAGTAATAACAGGGAAACCATATATTGAGTTATCCATAGATAAGTTAACAATTAAGTCAGGAACAGGCCACATAATAAACGCATCACGTCGCCTAAGAAATCAGGGCTCTGCAGATCTCTGGTAAACTCCAGAACATTTAAAATTCGACCTACTCAACCACTTAATGATCACCAATGCTACACTATTAGGTCCCGCTGTGTTCTTCACGTAAAACTATGCATCTCAACAGAAATTTAATTTGAAAGCTATTCCTTTGCTTTACAAACTAACGAGTAAGGGGTAACATGTGCAATATACTAAAATTAGGGCTACCTAAATAGTAGTAAGACAAGGGTAAGTACTTACATCTCAGAGAGAAAAAGCACACCCTTTGCGCAGCAGGCATGGTAGCGAGACACCGGCCAGAGGTCACACCACGGCCTTGAAAGCCCGCAGGTGCACTAGGTAATTATTTACTAGCCAGTCAAGTCGAGGAGTAAAAACGTCTTGTTTAACGCAGCTTAGCAAAAATTGTTGCTGAACAACAATATTGAAAACGGCTATTAACACTACTCCTGCCTGTAATGACCAAGCGTTATAACATTACTCTTGTAAAAATGGTGTTTTAACACGCGAATTTTATTGATGTTTGTTACGAAAAATAAAAGCGCCTACTGTGTTTATCCAAGTAAAACACCGTATTCAAGCACAATCCACGGTTGTCCTGCCCTCCTCCTCTGCTCTGCTATCTTAGCGCGTAACTCTCGCTGTTTGGCCACTTTACGCACATTTGGTGAAGGGAGTAATTTCGTAACTACCATAGCCAGGGGCAAATGCATCCTTCGGCTTTCCTGCAAAATGGTTCTCAAAATAACCTCTAAATTGTCCACTTTATAAGGAATTCCTGCTGTCCGAAGCCACCCAGTAGTACGTAGTGTGCGCGGATTCAAAATTAACTGCAACTGCGTTTTACTGTCTCGAGTAGCCTGTAGTGAGCTGGAGACCCCCGATTGATGTGTAGATCAATGCTATATTCTATGGAAGCAAAGTATTCTCAACTATTAGGGAATTACATGTTCCATTTCAAGTTCAAGTGGGGTTGGAACGATAGGATGAATCCCTTAAGTGTTCTTTTTTAAGCGGGTCGTCGATGCAGGAGTTGATAGGGGTGCTCGGACTTCTTGATGGGTCTAAAAAGAAACCACGAGAACAACACCCTGGTCCACCAATTTACTTCCCATGTTCCTTACACCAGCTGCCCCTGCTATGTCAGTTACGTGAATTAAGTAACAGAGGAGGAGAAATCCAAGGTTAGAGAGTAAGGGAAATCAGTTAAAAGAAGAGAATTATACCAATGGCTAGGAAAAGTAAAGAAAACCAAATTGAGGTATGAAGGTAGGAATTAGTCAGAAAAAGGAAAGTTTCGTGTTGCCAACCAAGTGCGTCTAGTTGAGGCTCAAACCCCTTAACCGTAGTTTCCTTGACAACATTTTCTGGAATCAGGTTCCAGCGCTCGATGACTCTACTCGATAACAGTGTCTCTGCTCTAACTTGATCAGACCGCGTTTTGTCTACCTTCATACTATGTCCGCGGAGACCAGATAATCTAGCAGGACTAAATAGCCAGGACAAATCAAGGCCAACCTTCCCAGTCAAAATACGGTAGGTTAGGATTGGGTCCCCGCTAATACTTTGATAGTGCATTGACTGCATCCCCAAACTAAGTAGGCGTTCGGGGTGCGTTTGTCCTCGTAGCCCATTGACCAATCTAGTACTGACAAGCAACACCTTTTCGAGTGCCATTTTGTCCCGGACAAGGCATGGTGGACAGGCCTGGACGCAATATTCTAGGTGGGGTCGCACAAACGCTGAGAAGAACTTCACAAATATATCAGTGGTTAATATCCCGAAAGAACGACGGATTAACCACCACATTCGGAACTCTTTACTAGCCGCCTTTTTCCAGTTGTCTTCAGAGTATAGTGTGAAACGGTGGTGGATACCTAGCTCAATTTGATAAGTCACGTGTGGAAGTTCACTCCGATCGAGCACATAACTTTTGGAGGATGCAGACACTCCGATACGCAGCCCTCCACACTTCGCCCGGTTTATGGGCAGCAACAACAAGACAGACCATTCCCAGAGCCTATTCAGAGTTTGTGGAGGAGCCACAGGACCTTCAGGGATATCAACCATATTCCAGAGCTTTAGGCCATCAGCAAATAAAAGCGGTGTTACCTTAAGCTCCCTCGGAAAGCCATTCACGTCGACAGAAAAAAGCAGCGGACCTAGGACAGAGCCTTGCGGAACGCCGCTAAGTAACTTTCTCGAAACGAAAGACTGCTTGCCACACGAATACACCGTTGGCGTCCATCCAAAAAAGCTAAAACCCGCTAGAAAGTGCGACCGGATACGCCATATGACCTCACCTTCAGTGAGAGTCGCGAATGAGGGACAGTGTCAAAGGCCTTGGTGATGTTGATGAACACCACATCCACCACATGTCTACTGTCTTCCGCTTCAGCTAGCTCACACAAGCTACCAGCAAGTTCGTCTAACACGAAAATCCTTTGCAAAAACCATGTTGCTCGACCCTAAGCAGCTGAAAAATATTTAACTGCTCCTCCAATATATCTCGTAATAATTTTTCAAAAACCTAACGACAACGCCAGTCAAGTTGGCAGACCTGTAATTAGCCGGTAGGTCTTTGTCACCGCACTTGAAAAGCTGGCACACAACAGCCTACTTCCTTTCGATAGGCAAGACACAGCTGTTGAGTGACTTCTTGAACACACAAGTCAGAGGTCCAATGAGTTCCACTGCCAATTCTTGCAACAATTTTGGATGAACCGAATTTGGTCCGGAAGCCTTAGTTGAGTTTACCTCTCTTATCAACCGGAGAACTTGGGACTCAGTTACAGGGTTTTCATCCAGCCAACAGTCCTCAGAGACCTTTGAAGCTAATCCTTTGCATGGAGTATTTTTTCGCGGACAAAGACGCTTGAGTACCGCTCACCTTGCACGCATACCATGTCATAGTCGCTATAGGCATGGGTCCCATCTCCTCGAAGCAATGGTGGTATGGGCGAGTTTGCACCACATCGCCGTTTAACGCAAGCGAAAAACTGCTTGGGATTTTTTGAGGCAGTATCAGCTAAGCCTCTTCCATACTGAAGCCGGACCAACCTAAGATGCAGCTTGCACTCATTTCAAATCAACCGATCCTTGTCAACCGTGCTGTTCGACGGAGCTGTTCGCTATGCCTGTTAGCATCTAGACCGCTTCTTTAGCAGGCCCCACTCCGCGGAATCTATCCACGAATGCTGAGCTCGCTATTCCCTTCTTTTTGCCAGTGGGATGTGAGTTGCAGAAATGTCGATGATGTGAGCCTTAAGATTTTCCCGGGCTATGTGAACAGTGTCGGTTTCAGTTATCAAACAAGGCGATGATCTAGATTTATCACGCATCGCTTGGAAGCCAGCGGCACAAATGGCACAACTGGCAGTAGCTTGGCAAGGCCTAATAAGGGTACACCGGAACGCCAAGCAAACGTGATCGTTAGCGCCAAGAGCCGAGTCGTAGTTAATGTCAGCTACAAAGTCAAGTGACTTAGCAAAAACACGCTCCAAAACGGATGGCTGCTGATTGCTCATATACATAGTGGGGAGGTCTAGGAACTTGTGTAGTGAAATAAGTCCAGCAGTTATATACCGAACGATTCCAGAACCGAACTGCAAGCTAGATCATCCCAACAAACCTCTGGGAGGTTGAAGTCTCACAGCACCAGACACTTGTTCACTACGTGCGTGCGTATTAACTTACTGATTCCATTGGATGTGCTCTTAGGGCTTCTATGCACTAAAACGATCGTAACCTGAACCGAGGAATCGCAAATCAAGGCTGCGAGAGCCTCAACAGATTTGTAGAGCGACTGAAAAACGCTGGTCCTCAATACGTCGATGTGATAACTAACATAAAGAGCTACAACACCCTTGACGGCCAATTAAGCGGTCAGCGCAGAACAGTGCGTAGCCAGGCATGTATATTTCGCCATCGGTGACTTCCTCAGACAGCCAGGTGCCAGTGATAGCAAGTATATCTCGATGAGATTTGTCTACCAGCAGACCCACCTCGCACATCTTTTTCCGCAGGCTACTCACTTTACTACGTATTACTTGGAGGGCTTCGGCACGACCAGCCATGGGTCATGTGTAAGTAGAATATGGTCTGGCAGGGCGGAAAAGGACCGCCGGCTGCCCAGCTGAAAACCCACCAATGGGAGACCTTGCTCGTCAGCTGCACGCCGGGCTTTTAAATCTCTCATGGCTTCCTTTAACTGTAACCTATCCGCTAACGGAAGGTCTGGTTGCACACTAACGTTGGTACATTTGAGCTTGAAGGCAGAGCTCAGGAAGGCCCTGCGCTCTTCTGGGGTGGCGAAGACCACCCTAAGCAGACGGGGGCGAGCATTTGGTTGACCACCCTGAACGTTCCCAACTCTGATTAGCTTCCTGACAGTAATGCCAGGGAAACCTGGTGGTAAAGCCTGGTCACGCAACCTTTAAGCAACCTTTAAGTTTGCATGGTTGTATGGTGCACGTGTTTGTATGTGAAACACCAACAACCTCCGGACTTTGTCCGCGGAATTCAAAACGAACGTCGGTTCTCCGATCGCACTCAGCTCCCTACCACACACTCCGTATCTGGTCATCTTCCGGTGGCTTACTTTTAGTCTTAACACTTCGGAACCTTCTAGTAAACATTTTTATCCTATTTTCGTGTGTTCTGCCGCACGCCTTCGGGTGGCCATTCAAATTTGTATCTAACAGAGCGTTAGACCAACCCGCTATAATTGGTGACATCGACTTATAATCGGTGATGCACTTACACTTGTTAAGTCTTACTTTTCTTTTTATATTCGGCCACATTTTTCGTTGACATTTCTAATTTTCTATACTTTTACTTTTGGGTGTCTATTCCGTTAGCTCAGTGATTTTCACCATGGAAGTTACAAATCCAGATGAGGACGCCCAGGTTAGAACATTTAGTCTCCCTATACCTCCTTTTCGCGAGACTAATCCTAGGGACTGGCTCAAGCAGATAAAATCGCAGTTCCCTTTACGTGATAGGAAGTCCAGTTACATTAGTTTCCACCATGTCGTAGCCGCGCTCCCACCGCATATTTTCGACGACCGGGATGACGTTCTAGACCTGGCCGAGGATCAGCAAATTTATGAAACGAGTACAGCCGCAGTTCTGAAAAGAACAGGCTCGTCCGGCCGACAAGGATTAGCCAAACACCTAAACGAAACCCAACTCGGTGACTTTAAGCTGTCTCAGTTTTGAGGGAAAATGCAGAGCCTAGCAAAACCCACCACTGCATACGACAATTTTCTTCGGGAAATG